CCCTCAAACCCACCGCGGCTTAGTTTCTCCCCTTTGAGCCTTCGCGGCTTCCTGCTCCTCCGGACGACCCCCGGGTACCCCCTCCCACCTTACGCTTCTCCTCCAAGTCACCAGACCACTCTTGTATCTAGGGGTAGTTTTCCTACGGATCCCAAGCCACTCGGGCACTCTCCGACGCCGGAGCGGTTCCTATAGCAACGGAAAACCGGAAGTGAAGGTCCGCGACCGGAAGCGGAAGTCTGATCTAAAAGTTCTGCGCTGCGGTGTGTAGTGGGCACTGGAGCCGTTCTCCACGTGGAGCCGCGGAGTGAGGGTAGGGGGCTGAAGGCAGGCGGCAGCGGCGGCAGGCGCCCTCTTCCCGCCGCACGGGCCTGGGCCTACCCGGACCTCTGGTAGGTGCAGCACGTGCGTGCTGCGAGATGGACACCCCCCTGCCCTCCGGCTCGGACTCGGATTCTGAGGAATCTCTTGTCACAGACAGAGAGGTAAGTGTCAGCCGAGCTCGCGTGGCTGGGCGAGGGGGGAGAGGGACGTCCTTCCTCCCCTGGTACTGACGCCGATCGTGCCCTGCAGTTGCAGGACGCGTTTTCCAAAGGGCTTCTGAAGCCAGGCCTCAATGTCGTGCTTGAGGGTCCGAAAAAAGCCGTGAACGACGTGGTGAGCTCGGGCGCCGAGTCGGGGTACCGGGGCGTGAGCTGAGCGCAAGGAACGGTTATGCTTGGGTGGCTGAGTTCTTGTCCTGGGAAGGAGGCAGCCTGTGCGTTGTCAGGAGGGTCGGTTACGCGTTGGGGGGTGGGGGTTAGCAATTTGCCCGTGGGCCTAGCACCCTGGGCTTGGGAGAGACATCGTCAGGGTTCCCTTCTTAGGGGCTCAGTGTCTGAATTTTTTAGAATGGCCTGAAGCAGTGTTTGGCAGAATTCAAGCGGGATCTGGAATGGGTTGAAAGGCTTGATGTCACCCTCGGTCCGGTGCCGGAAATCAGTGGACCTCAGTCAACACCTCAGAACAAGGACCAGAAAGCTGTTGATCCCGAAGATGACTTCCAGCGGGAGATGAGCTTGTATGTTTGTTTTCAAATGTGGGAGAAGCTGTGGTCCCTGTGCTTAGGGGGAGGGGAGATTGGTGAGCCTGTGCCCCACAGAGGTTACCGAAAGGGTAGGAGCAGGGAGGAAGTCTGCTTTTGACTAAAAAGAGCTTAGCTAAAGTTGTGTGTGTGTGTGTGTGGGGGGGGGGGTGTTGCGTGTGTTCCTATTCAATTATTAGAACAAACGTTATCTTATGGAAGGTCCTTATATAGACTTTTGTAGTGACTCCATAAGAATTCATAATGAGTTTGTAAATCGATAGGTGCTTTTAGAGCGGTCATTCTCTGAAACTACTGATTTATTTTCAGCAGTACTCCTCGCCCCCCTTTTTACTATCCCCCCCCCCTTTTTAAAAGAGTGCACAGTTAAGTTTCTTCCAGATGCCAAGTTAATGAGGTTTTATTACAGTTTTTGTCTTTGTGTGTCTTCTTCTGGTGGAGGTCAGATGTTGAGGGTCCGTCTGACCTTGGGTCACTCACGAAACGGAGTGAAGGAATGTAAGGCCTCTGCTGCCTGGCTTATTTCACACTTTGTCCTA